TGAAGCTACATCACAGGCGTTATGGTTGAAGAACTTTATTTCCGACTTTAGGATGGTCGATTCCATTTCAAGGCCATTGAGAATCTTCTGTGACAATTCAACTGCAGTGTTTTTTTCTAAGAATAATAAAAGTGGCAGCTGAAGCAAGCACATCGACATAAAGTACTTGATGGTGAGAGACTATGTGAAGAAGCAAGATGTGAGTTTTGAGCATGTTAGTACTACTTTGATGATTACCGATCCTATGACTAAAGGTCTGCCGACTAATATTTTTAAGGATCATGTAACCCATATGAGTCTTAATAGCTCAATTTAGCCTTGCTTTATTCTCTAACATTTTGTCTAGACATTATGTTTATTTTGATATACATAACAGTGCATACTTTGGTTTTTCATGTATTATTTTGTTATCATTGGATCAATAAAGTTGGACTCTGAATGACTTATATTAAGTTCATTCATTAAGTTGTTGACACTTTATTAGAACATATTGTACATTGTAATACATGGAAGGGATTATTTGTTTAAGACCATGACCGCCATGATTCATCAAATGATATGTTCTAGCTAAAGTGATTGTTACATAACTTTTAGTTGAGTGATGAAGTCTATGGACATATTATATGTTTATCTCTCATAAAGGATTATCTGATTTTAATATATGGGCCAAGTGGGAGAATGTTAGAAATTTACCATCTCTTCTAGAGACTTTTAGTGTGACCCACGTATAAGGTAATAAATTATTTACCTTGTCTCCCAAAGGAAATAATATATTAGATAATATTCTGTAGTTATGCATATATGGTAGTTTCTTTGATGGAAAGAAATAATTTTTTTAGGAGTCCCTAGGGCAATTATAATTTATGGAGAAGTCCCTAGGGCTAAAGTATTTGCCTAAAAGTCCCTAGCCTACCTATAAATATGCCTGTGACTCCATCAGTCTAGCATCCTACGATAGACACATGCTAGAAGGTTCTAGGTTTTCTGTCAAGGTTCTTCCAAGGCAATTCCCCACATCACTTGAACAACCATGGCTAAATGTACGTTTCTATTAATATTCCGCTGCGTAGGCTCTGTGTATATGCTTAAATTCTACAGGGGTATCCCAATAGCTCAATGATTCAGCAAAATAAATGCAACCTATTGAAGCCAAAAATGAAAAATGAAGATTAGATGCTTATACAGGATCTAATAATTAAATCTGTTCTTTGTTAAAAGTTGGGGTCGACTAAATGAATTCCAAATAAGTTGGGGTCGATTAAATGAATTTTCATTATCTATGTCACTATATTTAAACCCGTTCCAATCAAATAAAATGTAACATGTGCCTAGGAGAGCACATCCTAATGTGTTCTATGTTGTTAGAGTTTATCATAGCTTAACTAGTTTTATGATGATTATCAACCTATCCTAAATCTCCTTCTTAGTTTCGATTCGAGACCGATAATATGAACAAGCTCGCACAAAGGAAATTGATAACAACTAAGTGTAATAGAGGAAAAAGAGACCATTAGCAAATTGGTATGTATGTTGAGCAGTTTTGTCATCTGTTTTCAGTTTAGCCTCAGAATTGTTCTCGCTGATATTCCAAGTTCTAACCATGTTCTTACATTGTGAGATTAGTAAGGTCCAATATCTATTGGTATAGGTGTGCTATTGGATTCTTTGAACTAGACATATACAATTTTTCCAAAAGGCTTTACATCATAGAGGATATTTCTAGACTTTATATGTGATTTTCTAATCTTTTCAACTATAAAGTGGGATTTTGATTGCAAAGCCAATAATTTTCCCCTAAAACTAAGTTACATGTAACCCATCATCACGATCCACATGTCTCCTATTCGAACTAAGTCAAGTGCCCCATTACTACGATTCAAGAGTCAATTTTTGAGATTCACTATGTGACTCACATAACTTACAGCAGGGGCGGCCCGAGAAATTTCGTGGCCTAATTTTATTTTTTTAAGTCTATTTTTCTAGATGCAAAGTTATTTTTAATTTTTACAATCAATTTCTCCTAATAAGTCTTTCTCAATTGACAATATAGCTAATCCATTTTAAGGTTTTATCATTTTTAATTTTGAAACACTTCTTTCCGTTGAAGCAACATTATTAATATTATTCTACAAGTAATATAGGCATTTGAAAAAGAATCAAATCTTTTTATTTGATTTAGTATATATCAATTAAACTGTTATCTTCTAATTGTGCTATTTTCTTAACACTTTTAATTCGGAAAACAAATCTAGTCTATCAATATCGGGTTGATTATTATGCTTTAAGGAACATTCAAGATAAATGCAATATTTTTTTCAAATTTTCATCATCTGTGATCTCGGTTTTTTGTACCGGTAAATAGAAAATTAAAAATATTCTCATATGCTTCTAATTGTTCAAATATATTATGGACCGGAGGGAATATGTATAAAACGTAATCAACTTTAAAGGACTCTTCGAGAGATTTTTGAGATTTTATTATCAACATTCTCCTCAAATTATTTCTTCCTATATATCACACGCTTCTTACGAAATTCGGGTTTGATATTCATTTCAAATGCAATTTCCTTGGTAGAAATCATAGCAGTTGCAAATCCTTCTTCTCTATATTTGTTAAAGAAAAAAATCAAGTCTTTTCACTTCATATAACTTTTCTTAAACTTATATATAGTTTATTAACTGTATCAAAAAATGGGGCCCTCACAAATGTGGGGCATAAAGCAATTGCTTTACATGTTTTACGGAAGGGCCACCCCTGATGACTTAGTATTTGTGGTCACCGAAGCGCAAAGCTAGCTTCTACTTGTGCACATGCGTCTCGATGCTAAATTTAGAAATGGTAAAGGTAGTAAAATGAGCCAACGACATCATTCCACCATCTTCATATTCCTCTCGTTGAATCATTGGATCTGATACCAATTTGTTGGGATCATCTAGCAAAAGATACTCTTAATATTGTGTGTATTGACTGCTTTGGGCCAAACCTATACAATTTTTCACAAAAGTCCTCATACCAATAAGAGTATTCTTATACCTTATATGTAGCTTCTAAATTTTTTCAACTAACAATGTGAGATTTTGTTCACCTATCCAATAATTTACCCCTCGAACTAAGCTCCACGTGGCTAATTTACCACGATCCATGAGTCTGCTTTAGATTAAGTCCGCATCAAATAACACCACACCTTTACAAGTATCCCTACACACGTACCTTCCTAAGAGTAGGTAGGCGATTTCGCTAAAGGCTACCTACTCCTATTTAATCCGCACAGTTTTGGAGTGACACTAGCAGGACCAATTTGCAATGATCCTAAAACAATGTGCAAAACGTGATCACCTAAAGGAAGGCATCCGTAAATATCTTGGCTTTAATTACACTATGGAACTGAATATTACTCTATTACTCAAAACACTTTTTTTTCTTAAACAAATATAGTGCTTTGTTAAAAGCTTGACGAAACAAGCGATTACTAGATGTGGATCTTGGAAAAATTTAGCCGCATTTGTTATTTACACAAAATCGTATCAATTTATCATAATAAAATTATAAATTAAGATAT